ACATGCCACCATGGCTGGTTATACTAAAACATCCACAGTTAGTTATAGAAAGTTGATTCCAAGTGGTGATGGCAATGATATTGAGCCTTCTGCACAGTATTTTCCTTTAACATAGGAAAAAAGGAATTCAACATAAATTACAGTAAGCTCCAAATTAAGTTTCCTCATTTCACATTCTAAGAAGGTGAGGTAAAATGAGATTAGACTTTACTGTAAGGTCAGAGCTCATGGATGGTCTAGATACAGTTGTAACTGTGTGCCCAGTGTGGAAAACATGTCTAAAATAGTTTCTTATGCTTGCACATATCCTAAAGTTACATCCTTGTCAGTAGGTAAGACAACTCGCATGGCCTGGGAGTCCAGTCTTGTGACTGGTTAGTCATGCTCTGGAGTTTCCTCCAACTGGGGGAGGAGCTGATTTTTATTTGTGATTAGGAAGACTCCACATGAACTAGCAATCAGAAGAAGATGGAGGCACACCCTTCTGCCTGCCCAGGAACACACATCTTTGCTGTCGTTCATTGCAGGATTGAAGTTATCTGGAAACCTTGAAGTTCCACAGTGTGGAGTCAAAGCAGGAGAAATTGTGAAGAGAATATGGAAGACTCAAAGTCAGTATCGTGACCATAAAACCTGTAGCTCATTCCACAAAAGACAAAAGAGAAGAAATCAAACACATTTGTTGTTTAAATCTATCATCTATCTGTCTGTCTGTCTGTCTATCATCTATCTATCTATCTGTCTGTCTATCTATCTCTTCTTGAGCTAAGCATTGTATTACACATGCATGATCCCCTCATCAGGGAGGTGGCGGTAGGAGGATTAGGATTCCAAGTTGTATTTTATTAAGGTAATATAAAACAAGAAGATATAAAAATGAGATCAGGACTTGGGGGATGAGAGCAAGAAGAGGGGAAATGGGGGCAGAGGGAAAAGCATGGCCAGAAAGAATTACATATTTATATGACATTGACAAAAAATAAATTCATTAAAAAATTAATCAAGTAAAGACAAATCTTTAAGGGGGCTGGAGAGCAGATTCAGCAGTTAAGAGTACTTCCTGCTCATCCAGAGAACAAGGTTGTGATTCCCCCTTTGATTCCACTTAGTAACTTAGCTCACAACAACCGGTAACTCAAGCTCCAGGGGGCTCTGATGCCTTCTTCTGACCTCTGATGGCACTTGTGTGTATACACACACACACACACACACACACACACACACACACACACACACCAAGAGAGAAGAGAGAGAGAGAGAGAGAGAGAGAGAGAGAGAGAGAGAGAGAGAGAGAGAGAGAGAGAGAGAGATCTTTGAAAATAATGAAATAGAAAAGAAAGAAATTGGTGTTAAAGAAGCTGCAGATCTTCCCTTAAGTCCTGAGCTCAATGCTGTGGTAAATGTCATGTTTTCTGGTTGCTCTTTTATACTTCTAAATGGTTTGTCAGCCCAGTAATTATTATTCAGCCACCTTACACAATACTCATTAACTTTATGTGGTCATAATTGAGGACGCAGTTAGCTTTCTTACACATACACATTCCCAGTCTCTCCCTCTCCTCACCTTCCGTGTATAGTTTTATCGCAATTTGGGTAATTTGTGAATATTATCATATGGATTATATTCAAACCAGAATGAAGCAGTATTCTATCATGCATTTCCTTTCTTGTACAACTGTTTGCTTTTCCTGGAGTTTGTCAGATACTTTTAAATGTTATGTACTTTCCAATATTAGTATGATACTTTGTACACATACTAAATTACTCAAAATTGCCTTCAAATGTTCTTTGAAATTGTGATAGTCAGAGCAGTTGAATTGCTGTAACAGCCTCAAAATCTTAATGTCATTATACAAATTTACTTTTTGTTCATGTCATAGTTCAGGAGTTCCAGCTGGGATTTCTTTGGCTACTATGTTTTGGGGTCATAACTTTCTTCCTTTAGAAGCTTTATTATTGCTGGGCAGTGGTGCTGCATGCCTTTAGTCCTAGCACTTGGGAGGCAGAACAGGCAGATCTCTGAATTTGAGGCCAACCTGCTCTACAAAGTGAGTTCTAGGACAGCCAAGGTAACACAGAGAAACCCTGTCTCAAAAAAAGGAAAGAATCTTTACTATCTTGTAGGATTTCAGAGCGCTCCTTTCACTGCATCTGAATGCTATAAAAAAAATAAATAAAAGAATAGGTATAGAAAGGAAGGGAGGCTGTCAGAAGCCATGCTGTGGATGTCATCTAACAGTGACGTCTATCATTTTTGCCACATACCCTTGACTAAAACTCAATTGAATGCTCCCTGACATGCAGGGAGCTCAGAAAGAATTCTAGAGGGATGCTCTGGAGAACAGAAGGGTCCTGACAAGCACAGTGGATAATTTCCCGATGTGCAGACACCAATGCTACCACCTTCTCTGTTTTGATTGGAGATAGACCTTCTTCAAGCCTTCCTCCTTCCCTGGCCTACTTCATGAGAACTCCTTTGAGGAACTCTAATTTCTCTATTATATTGGACTTGAGTTTTCTGGGTTTCGCTCTTCCTCTTCCTGATTTATTGGCTTGCTTCTGGAAAGCTGTTTTTCAAATGGTATGTGGAAGAATGAGTTATTTTGAGTGCTCAAAAACATGAAAATGTCATCATTTACATGGCTAACAGTTAATTTGGTCATGCAATTCTAGATTCAAAACAAACTCATTTTCAAGTTGTGAAGGCATTAAAAGAGATATCTACTTTGCTGTTATTCTTAGGAAATTCAGCACAGATTTTTTTCCCAATGTGAATGATTTGCCTTATGGCTCTGGAAGACATTTTTAAATGTTTGTGGGTTACTATTATCTCAGAATGATGTGTATTTAATTAATGAGTAAATGTAAAGGGAACCTTTGATCCCACAAGTTCATAGTCTTTATTTGTGGAATTCTTAAAGCATTATTTCCTTTTATTCATTTTTCCATCCCTTTCTGCACAGGAAAAAAGCCATCTTCTAGAACTCGCTGGGATCGGCTTTGGTCACTGTTTTGCTCCCTCCAATGTAGCTTTTTGTTCTATTTTGCTGAGGATTAATTTATTTATTGTTCGCTCTCTCTAGAAGCAGAGTCAAAGGGCCTGTGTTCAGCTCGTGTTAAGCCACCCATGACTCTTATTTCTGTTCTCTGGAAGACTGCAGGCTGGAAGAAGCAGATGAAGGAACTTGGTTGATTATATTGCGGTGGGGAGGGAACTTCAGGTCCAGGCATTCTATGTTCGTGTCTCTAATCAAGCCCCATACTCCACCACTTGTCGCCAGTCTGTGCCAGTATTCCTGCCTTAGAAAGTTTCAGTCTGCTGGGGTTTGCGGGGAGAAGAGCTGATAACCCCATGTCCTTAGCTCCGCCCATAGACAGGCACTGTGTAAACTGCTTCTCAAAGTCGATACCTGCCTCCATCTGGTTGAACGTCTGGAAAAGAATCCATTGCGATTTATTTTATCTGGTGATGTCTCTTGTCTCTTTTATTTCCTTTTATGGCAGAAAGGTAATTTTAGAAGTTCAAAATTGATTTATTTTGTGTGTGTGTGTGTGTTCAAGGAGTTTGAGGAGGATGAAACACAGGTGACAAATTTGTCTAGAAGTTTCCCAATTACAATGATATCTGTATATATATCAGAGCCGCTATGTTGAATGCCACAGAAATTTTATCAGTTTAATTTGTGCCACATAAACCCCAGGGACAAAAGAGCCTTTAAAATTATTACCTTCACACGTTGTTGTTTTTTTTGTTAGAAGAGCCAAAACAGTTTTTATGAGTCAAATGATATTGGAGCTTGAGAAGATGGCTCGGTTTTTTTAAGAGCACCTGTCACTCTTTCTGAGGACCTGAGCAGGCTTTGGATCTCAGCACCCTCCTGGTGCCTCACAACCATCCATGACTCCACTTCTAGGGGAGCTGATGTCCTCTTCTAACCCTCGAGAGCACCAGACATGCACATGATGCACAGGCATGCATGCAGGCACAACACTAATATACATAAAATACGTAAACATTTTAAAAGGTTTTTCAAATTAGTATTTGGGGAGGATGGGACAGATTAAGTGTTACTAAAATAGTGAGTGTAGCCAACAGTTCTATAAAATAAAGTGCCGGGTATTGTTCTGGACTGCTGACTCACATTGACTCTACAAATCCCACCCACCCATCCACGCCCCGCCCCCCATTTTTCTCTTTCTTTTTGAGACAGGTTTCACGTGCAGCCCAAGCTGACTAGGAATTATTCTGTAGCCCTGACTAGCCCTATTATTTTTGTCTTCAAGGAAGGCAGATCTTTAAACTCGGAAGCGTAGACTCAGGAATGAGTTAAACATTTAAAACCTAAGTCATTGTCTTCCTAACTCTAACGTGAACACATGCAACAGGTTTGGAACTATTTTCTTTGCGAAGGAATATGTCAAATGCTGTTATATGTGTTTAATCTTGTATCCTTACCTTGACCATGAATCTGTAACTCTAGGGATGCCAGAATATGTCCAAAACGTAATGCCCAAAGGCTACACAGGATCTTCACTAAATGGGAAAACCCAAAGTGTTTATTTAGTACAGGATATGCCACAAACTATGAACTTAACAAATACTAGTGCAGTGGCTGTGTTTATTATTTTAGTTAGCAGTGACCCATTAGTCCCCGAGTGGCTTTAGGAAGTAAGGATTTTGGTGGCGTAGACTGATTGTACACTTATGTCTGTGCCCTAACTTCAGAAATGCAGTTTCTGTGCCTGCCGTTCCCAGTCTAGTGGGATGCTTTCCTCAGCCCTCTACCTCGAAGCCCTTGCTCTAAGAAGCTGCACGATCCCCTGGGGTGGAGGCCAGCTGTGTATGAAAGCTGGTCTCCCCACACTACCCCCAGGCACCTTGAAAGAGGTGTCAGGGCAAAGCCAGAAAAAATAAGTCCGTGAAAACGAGCTTGCCTCTAGGACATGCACCCCCACAGCGTGGAGAACCCACCAACAGCCAAGTGTGTTTCTTATTGCAGCGGTTGAGTCATCAGCAAGACTGGCCCGAGGTGAGCCAGGCACATCCGCGTTAGGACTCAGAGACACGCCTTCTTCTCACACAAACCTTCCTGATCCCAGCCGCCTAGGCGGACTCCCGGGTGGTGCTACCAGCCCTGCCACTCATAGTCCGGACAGGCAGAGGTTGGGGACCGCCTGGCGTTGCACCGATCGGGATCCACAGGTTGCAGACGCAGGGAGCCGTGCCCATGACAGTGACGCTGTGAGGCTGCGGGCGTGCGGTAGCTGCTGGTGGGTCCTGGAGCTCGGGAAGACCGGAGGGGCCCTGAAACCTGACACCAGTGCCCTCGCTGTGGCTGTCCCCCGGGCTGGTGAGTTGGGGAAGGGCGGCTGTCGGCTGGAGTTTGGTCCCACCCACTCTGGGTGCCCTCCGCCGCCAGGCTTCAGGGAAGGGGGACCCGGGAGGAGGGCGCAGGCCTGGCGCCTGCAGCCTTCCATCTGTTCCCTGCAGAAAGCCTAGGGAGCCAGACTTAGGGGCTGCTCTTGCTCAGATGGCCCCCCAGCAAACTCGATCTACCCCCTTTGCTTTGGTGTGTGCCTATCCTACAGTTGATTAGAACAAAAACCAAACCCAAACTAAACACTGGACAGAGGCAGGTCCATTTGTATTTTTTTTTAAGGCGATTATTATCAGCAAAAAGAAGAATGGCATGCTGAAAGGACTGAGGGTGGCCAGGCAAGGGACAGGACTTGTCTTAGCACTTCCTTAAGATGAATCAGCCACCGAAAGTAAAGAGTGCTTTCTGTGATCCAGTGTTTGCCCCATTACTTTTGAATTCAGGTCAAAGTTTTGCATGTAGGGAGTGAGTGTGGGAAGTGAGTGTTGTTGCCAGTGGTCTCAATACACCCACTTCCAAGATTTCCCCCACTGCAACATTATCTTACTAAGTCTCTGGAAACCATTGACTCAGGTGATAGGTAAGCAGTAATGGCCTTCCTAGGAAAAAGCTACCTCTGGTTAAAGCCTGCACACCTGTAACGTGTTTGCCAGCTTTTTACCACATGACCTAAAACCAAGGCTGTGGGACTCCAGTTTGAATGGACTGCATGTAGTTTCGGGGTTACCGGTAAAGACCTGGGTTTTGATTTGAGTCTGCTTAATACCCACAGTTCTCAATATTTAGTCATCGTCATACTTACTTGCATATGCATACAATGTACTGGGTTAATGGTAGTAACTTTTGAAAAGTAGTGAAGATGGACATTGGCATTATCACAAGTAGATAAGTACAGTGGATTTTTAAGCTACTGTAAAGTTCAGTTTGTAGTTATAAAATGAAAGAAGTGCTTTTCCAATGCCACCCTGCCCTGCTGCCATAGCAAGTTTTCATGGTTTCCAAAGGGAATTCCTTGCCCACATGAGACCACTATTCTTACCAGCAGGAATCTCTATGGATCCTCCACAAGGCGTACACTTGCCAGATACTCCAACATAAGGAGACTTCTCTGATGAAGGTCTGACTATGAACTCCCATGCTGTTACTATCATTGCTCTTGAGTGGAAAACAAAACATTTCTGATGAAACTGGATAAGCCTGTTCTCATCTTTGCCAAGTGGCAATAAAAAGAATCTGTCAAATGCAAGCAAACCACAGCTCTCTCTCCTCATAGGTCATTTCTAGAACAGGCATGTTTGACCTGATAAGGAAGGTAACCCTGGAAAAGTGATCCTCTTAACTCATGGTGTACCACATTGTACTACCGCTGTCTTCCCGTTTCAGGTTGGGCATTCATTTATGTAACTATTCCTTTAGAAACATGGATGTCAAAGTCCCGAGTGGTTCAGAGATGGCATCTGCTGATTTCCCTCATTCTTAGAAAGTTGGAGTTTTGGCTTTCAGCCTAATGCTGCGACCCTTAAATACAGTTCCTCATGTTGTGGTGACCCCCAACCATAAAATTATTTTTGTTGCTACTTCATAACTGTAATTTTGCTGCTTTTGTGAATCATAATGCAAATATCTGTGTTTTCCAATGGTCTTAGGTGACTCCTTTGAGAGGAAAAGGTTGTTCATCCCCAAGGGGGATCATGATCCACAGGTTGAAAAATGCTGGCCTAGTAGAGCATGGAAGGCACACTGACTAGTCACATAAAGCTCATCTCACAATGAATCCAGTTTCTTGTGCTGATTCATCAAGGCTGGTTAACCAATAGTTCAGCTCTGAAGCAATTACTTGTAATGCTGAGATTCAGGAGAACAATTCCAATAAAAAGAGACAGGGCAAACCAGATGTTTGCCATGAATTATTTGTAGAGATGCCTACCAAAGGATTGGCTTTCTTCACGGTTAGGTGTATGAGGTATGGAGTGGCTGGTCTGTAGATGCAGAAAGTGGCAACATCACTAGATGAACCTGTTCTTAGCACTATATACTTGGCTGATTCCAGGCTCTTTTCAGTCACTATTGCTGCCCCTCAAGTGTTGAGCTTCTCTCCTCAGTCCTCCTTAAATAAACAAAGGACTGGTGTGCAATGGCTTTCTGTTTAATAAATGATTAAAAGAATTCTTTCATAAATTCAGTATTTTAACTCATTCAGTGTCTTGAGAAAGTAATATGTTCAGTTGCTTGTTCATTTATCCAACAAATATTTCTAAATAGCATCAAGCACTATTATTGGCTCTGTAGACAGACATGGACGAAACAGGCAGACATCCCTAACCCTGTGGGTCTTACTACTTACCTGGGGACAAAGAACTGACAAGATGAACAGGTTACCTCTATGATAGGTGACTCCCAGGTGCTAAAGAGAAATAGAGTATAGGGCAGGAGAGAGTTATCCCATAAGTTTCGGTAGTGTGGGGGTGGGGGTGGGAGTGCCAGGCAGCAGGCTAACCAGGGCGAGTCCTACTGAGAAGCTATTTCACTGTCTATCTGGAGCAGCTGAGGGAGTGAACCTCTGGAGATGAGTCCAGACTGAACGCCCAGGGAGCTGGGATTTGCCAGTCACATTCCCTGGGTGAGGCACTAACAGGGCCAGGTCAGAGAGGGTTTTGAAGGTACTAATAAATAGTTGGCTTTGGGTTCTCACTCTGGATAGAATGAGAAAAAGCTATACTAAATAGCCTATGAAACATTCTCCAACAGATCCTTCCCTAGCTCATTATAAACATTAATGTTCTTCTAAACACCATGGATAAGAGATGCTAAAAGGACAGAAGGACTCTGCTATGCACTCATTACATCCTAGGGTGGGGAGAGAGACGTGAACAAATTAATAACCCTACAGGGTTTAATATTATTAAAGAAAGCATGGTAATAGGTAAAAATAATGACACTGGTCAGGAGAAGTCTTGGATAAAGAAGTATTTTATTGTAATATAATAGCTATGCATATATACATATACATATATATGTAGAGTGTGATAGTTTAATATATGCTTACAGTTGTCTCTCTTTGTGAGTGAATTCTATATCTATGTGTTCAGCCATCTTTGGGTAAAAATATTTGAAGCCAAATTGTGTCTGTACAGAGCATTTACATGACCTTTCTCATCATAATTTCCTGAGCAATCTACTGTAACAGCTATTTGCACATCCTTCAAACTACATTGGTTATGACTGTTCCAGAGATGGTTTAAGGTATAGATTTAAAATATGTAATGCTTATGCAGATTGTGTGCAAACACTATGTAATTGTATATAAAAGCTGATGCTTCTATGTTAGAGGCATTTAAATTAGTCCCCTGTAGAAGCAGGGGAGCACTATGCATTGTGAACTGATAAAATTGGAATATTTCCCGTGCTCATCTCTTCAAAAACTTATTGTGTGTTTGTTAAGAAAGCACTGTATAGCTAATAAGGTAACTTTTTTAAAGCCATCTCTCTGGCTTCCTTGAAGACAGTGATCGTAATTTGACCACAGTAGAAGAAAGGATGGAGGAAAGGCTACTCTAATTGACCAGTGATGGCAGCAATGTAGATGAGCATTGGAATGGCAGTCTCTGACAAAAGCAGATTCATTCAGAAAAGTATTTAAAAGCAGAGCTGATTGGACTTAATAATAAGTCAAGTAAATGGTAAGGATGATAGAAAGAAAGATTGAAAATGGTCATTAGAGTGCATAAAGAACAACTTGGGTAGATGATAACATTGTTTCTTGAAACTGGTAGAGATGGGTAAGGAAAATATTTAAGAGGGAGGTAAAGACTTGGTTACCAACTGAAGTATTTTTTGGGCTTCTGGGTGGAAACAGCCAGTTAGGCTTTTTTTTTAAATCTAGGAGTAATAAGCCAACACAAACACACAGCCAGATGCAAGGTCTTCAAGACATCAACTGGAGAGAGCTAGAGTAAGACTGAGATCTAGGTTGTAGAACTGATCTATGGCTTGATTTGACACTGAAGGATCTTATAAAGGAAGCATCAGAACACCGGTCAAGTGATAGGACAGTTATCAGGTGACACTGTCATCATGAACACAAGACAGGAGTTTTTTGCAGAATGGTCAGTGCTGTCAGATGTTGTTAAGATAAAGACTGAGATGAGAAGTGTGTGATCATGCATGGCAATGTGAACACACGGGAAACTTAACAACAAATGGACTTCTCCAAATAACATATTCAGAAAAACTAATATAAAATTTTGAAAGTAGTTTTTCACCTAATCCTAAAAGAAATAGAAATTAGAGAGCACCAGAAAAACTTAGGAGCTATATGCAGACTCTAATAAAATAAATTTTAAAATGTGCTTGTAGAACAAAGAAATACTTACAAAGGTGTTGTGTGAGTTCTCAATGTACTTTGAGGAAGAGTGAGCTTGGGTAAATGCTAAAGAGCTATCAATTCATTAATTTTTTTTCCAGAACAAAGCAGTGAATGAGGGAGTGTTTTATACCATTGAATCAACGAGAGAGAAAATGAGAAAGTGGAATTAATCTCTCTGTCCTCCCCTTCCCAGTCTGCTGCTGGAGACTGATCTCGCAGCCTCCAGCAGGCTTGATCTAATACTGAGTTCCATCCCTGGCCTCCTTTTACATCTCCATGTTGCCCACACTGACCTCCCATTCTGTGCACCAAAGTGTCCTATGTAGGTTTTGCATTCTTATCTCTGAAAAAAAGACCATAGTATTCCAAATGGAAGCATTGGGCATAAAAAGGAAAAGAAGAACTGCTAACACTCATCATGAGCACAAGGAATTTCTTTGAATGGGAAAAAGTCATACTGGGAGTGGAGGAGGTTTCTGTGCAGACACAGAAAGTCAGTTGAAGCCTGAAGGATATCGGGTGCTAGTCAGGGACAGAACTGAAGAAGAACCAACTAGGCAGAGCCAGACACTTAGGGGATTTCTAGCCTGGAATGAGCATGATGCAT